CCAGGAAGTTAAACAGTTGCAGTGGGGGAGATAATCTTGGAAAAGAACATGTAAAAAAAATCATCCTAAAGATTTTTAAAACTCTGTTAATATCTGCCTCAAAGCATTAAAACGCAGGTTCCCTATGCTCTGTATTATTCAGTGAGCAGCCCAGGGCCCAATGAATTGAGAGAAATGAGGGGCTGGTGGGAAAAAAAATCAATCCCAGGAAGCAGTTAACCATCAGCTGGTTGCAAAGGAGAGAAGCTCAGTCAGGAATAAGGCACTAATGAGCCCCACTCTGAAACCACTTGCTCTTATATTTAACATGCAAGTGCTCCTTCATGCACATCCTCAAGAAGCCAGCAAGTCCACCATCTCGCCCCCGGCACCTGGGGAGCAGCCCCTGCCAAGACACGCAGTCTGGCAGGAGAGGAAGTGGCCAACTGACATGGAGGAGGGAGAGCCTGGGGGTTTGCCTTGCAGGCTGTAAGGAGAACTGGAAGTGACCTGAGGAGGGAGACTTGCTTTAGCTGTGGATTAACTTTAAAGAACACTCGGCACCCAATAAGGACATATGACACATGAGCCATGACCCCAAGACAAAAAAGAGGAAGATGGCATTGTCATGTTCAGGAAATATTTGCAAGCACAGAGGAGAAGAAAGCAGCAGGAGTTGGGTGTGAATGAGGCAAAGGATGCCCCACACGCGTGCGAGCACCATCGGTCTGGCACCCTGAACTCGCTTAAATTGTCTAACTATAGGACAAAGAAGTGGGTCTTACCTGGAGGCAGGTACTGACAATGCCCAGAAGAGTTAACTAACACGTTGGTGTGGAATGTGGCATCGAATCGCTCATCAGCACTAGAAACATGAGAAGGATTTCATGAGTCAGCACTGCCCGCGGTGGATCTCCCGGGGCCCTTAGGTCTGTCCTGACTGCAGCTAGAATAGCTTTGAGAAGTGCCACTCTTTGCGCTCGGGTCATGCCGACACCATTTGTAACTGGCCTGGGAGATCTCAGAGCACTGGTTGCTAGTGGCCAATGTTCACCCACCCCCACCATTTCATATGCACTGTGATTTTCATATGCCCATAAAACAAAGTTTTTTTAGCAAAAGTTAAACCTGAAGACAATTTCATAGGACATCCGCTGATGAGACATTTCTATCTGTAGGAGATAAAGAGTGGGTAAAGCACTCTGCCACTGATCAGGGATTTTGACCCACTATCTCCAAAGCTCCAGTTCCAGCTTCCTGAATGCACCCAATGCTTGGTTGGTGCTTAACCAGTGTATCTTGAGTGACTGAACTGCAAGCCCAGGAGGCTGTGGGGCACCACCAGAGCCCAGAGGCATCCTGGGCTCCATGATTAGCGATGACAGGAAGGAGGGCAGGTGAAGAGAGCAGAGTTAGGTACAGGTTTTAGATAGGTGCACCCCAGCCCCCTCCCTGCCCAAGTTCAGAACCTCCCACAGCCAGGAGTTACCAACTTGAACAAAGGGAGTGGAAGACACAAAACAGGAAAAAAGAACAACAATTAAAGCCAACAGCCCTTATTATCCATGTCTTTTATCTTCTGTATTCTGATGCTTTGCGGACCCTGGAAGAACCGTGCCCCCTCCACTCCCAGGTTAGCCAGTTCCTAGAGACAGGAAAAACACGCTCACCAGTGCATCTCTCAAATGCAAACCCTCTGATCCAGAGCCCACACCCCAGCCACCTCCTTTATCAGGGTTTCACACTCCAGCCCTCTATCCCTCTGTCCTAATAACCTGAGGGCCAGGTACCAAGCAACTAGGGACAGCTCCTATGATCCAGGGTCCACTGAAATTCTTCAAACTAACCAATCCTAACCCTGCTCACCCTGCCTCGCCAGTTCTAGTCCATGGAAACCACAATAAAGGCTCTTTCCCATCCAAGAAGACGCTGTCAACCAAAGGACTAAAAAACTGCTCCTTAAAAAAGTAGTATCCTCACAGAAATTCAAGAGGATGTTGCATCTAGTAAAACAAAGAGCAATATGAAAGTTAAAATATGATTTATGAAATAAATTTTTATAAATGGGTGGGAGCTTTGGGGCTGAGAAGAATTAGAGATGAAATGTAGGACAGAGATGAGGAAAGCCCCCAGAGTACAAGACCAGAGGAACTCACTGGACAGATGCTGAAGAGACAAAAGGGCGGGAGATAATTACCCAAGAAATCATAGAGAGACATGCTAGAGCTGAAGGAAACTAGTCAAGCATGAAGGCAAAGTGAGGTACTTTCACAGACTTAGGGGCTAAAAGGGCTGGTGTCCCACGTATATTTTCTCAGTCATGGAGTTGAGGATGAGCTCTAGGAAAATGAGGGTAAATACTGAAAAAAGAAGAAATAAAACTTTTGGACTAAACCTGGGTATCAAGAAAATGTATTTCCATGATGAGCTGTGCAGTGGGCCTAGAAAAGGCGGGGGTGGGGGATGTTCCCAAATTACAGCAAGAGATGAGGAGTCTCTGAGGAGAGTGAAGTAGATTCAGAGCAAGAGAGAAGAGAAATAAGCTGGAAAACACCATGCATTCTATCAAGGACACATTTTTAAAAATCACTGTAATAAGAAAGAAAAATATCAACCAGAAACTTCGGGGGGAAAAAAACCTATACAAAAAAGCCAGGGTATGACTACGAAACAAAAATGTGATGAAGTGCAGAGGAAGAAGGAGGGGAGAGAGACTAAGCTACCAGGAAAGGATAATCCTTTGAGATGAAGGACACTCCTACCTCCTTACTTGCAAGCACACACAGGGAGAGAGAGGAGGAGACAAGGTCAAGATGCAAATATTCTCTGCTTGATTGTGGTCTGTACTCAACTTTCTCCATGAATCACATGATAAACAGTGACGGAGCACAAAACAGCTGAACATGTGGACCTTCACAAAATCGCTCTAGAGCAAACCATGATTTTCAAACCAGGTTCTCTGGAACCCTGAGATTCTCTGGGTGTGCTCTGGGGTTTCTGCACCTGTGGATTCTGATACTCTCTTTTCCTTGTAGTCTAAAAGGCGAATAAAAGTCCAAACACACTCAAATGACTTTTGGAAAATTCTCTCTCTTCAGACCAGACAACCGATGGATTACTACATGTGGCCCATTTAACTCCTTTTTTGGCTGAAAGTTAGGCTAAAACTTCTCTTGCCATGCCTGTGCATATCTTTGAACCTCTTGTAAATGAGTCGCCCAGTAAGGTTTCAGTTTTGCACTGCTCTTTTTAAAAATCCACATTTGAGCCTACACTTCCAGCATAGAACCTGGACCCCACCTCACAGCACCCGATCTCACCACTGCAACAACTGAAACTGTCTTGTGACACATGACACAGGATGCATGGTTTTGCTTATTTTAAGCTTGGGTTTCTTCTTGTCTGATTTTTATATTTATAACAAAGACTGTGAGCATCTGTTAGATCAGTGACTTAATTCTGGAAGGAAAAAAAAAAAAAAAAGAATTCCTCCCAGCTCTTCCTCCACACATTTGGATCAATTTAATTGAAGAGACTCTTGAGATCACAAGACAAATGAGTAAAAACAAGATAAAAATCGGTTTCCATTAGCAACAGTTTACCTGTGCGACTCACTGATTTCTAAATACAGTTCAACCAAAACAGAATATTGAGATAAACAGAACTGTAACACTGTTATCATTATCAACATGCAAATCTTAATATTCATTTTGGCAGACTTAGAGTTCTCTGCTATTTTATACATCAATGATATAAAAGTAAACTGCTGTAATAATTGTATGCTAATACCACTTACCTGTTTTGGCCATTAGAGCTGGAGATGAGGTTTGTTTGGAGAAGGGCTCTATTGCCAAAAACTGAGGCTGAACACAGCTCTGTGAAACCTGAGTGGCCCCAAACTAGCCATGACATGGGAGGTAACAGTATTAGCTGCTTGTCTCGGGGCCCAGCACTAGATGCACCATGCAGTGATGTACACGGGAGCCAGGGGATGGCGAGCATGAGGCCGTGTGATAATACAGTCTTGCAGCTGGCACACACTGATAACCCTGGGAACTGGGGTGCATCCACAGGACTCGGTTCACTCCTCCTTCTGTTCTGGTGAGCATGTGAAACTTTCTGTATTAAACAGTTTGAATATATATACTGTTTATGTACTTAAGACCCTTCTTGACGACTCAGGCATGTGGCTGCTTCATTTTGTTCAACAGCTCCTCTCTCCAGCTGCCTGGGTCCTTGTCCAGCCAGCAAAGGACAGACAACTGGTGTGGGGAGAACTCTGGGGGCACCCCCACCACTGATAGGGCAACAAAGGGCAATGGGGCCTTGTCACTGAAAAGTAACCATGGAGAGGAGGGATATTTAGCCCAATTATTCAGGGTGCAGATCCTAATATCCTTCGTGGAATGGTCAGGAAGAAAGGGCAACTGGACAGGTTCTAAAGATGGGCATAATTCCAGCAGGTAGAAAGGAAGGTTGGTGCATCCCCAGCAGAATGCATGGTCCAATCACATGCCTGAAGGTAAACTAGACAGAGAGAAGCTTCATGAAGGTATGGTTTGCCTGGACACTAGGGTGAGTGAGGTGTCACCCCAACACCTTAGTTTAGCACTTGCCTTAGCAGGAAGGCCAGCATCATGGCTTGAGAGAAAACCATGGGTGGCCATGGCTGCAGGATCCAGGGTTCAATGCTTATGGATTAACTGCAAGCTGTGCTTTCAGAAGTCAGTGAAGGCACAGGCATGCAGAAGTGAACCTGGGGTCTGGGATTAGATTTCTTCCTGTTCTCCATCCCCCTGGTGCTCATGCCCTGCTTGGTTCCACCCCAGCTCCTGACTCTGGAAGCAGAGCCTCTGAACCTAGCTCAGTGCAGCTTCCTGCTCAGCTTGCCCTGTAGCACTGACCCCCACTGCCAAGCCTGGAGCAGCTCAGCCCTAAGCCAGGGAAATGAAGGTGACCACGCCACTCACAGCATCATCTGGCCCTGAGTCCAGCTGTCAGTGCCCTGAGAGAGAAGAACAGGGTGGCCAGCCATCAAGGAAGCCCAGAAAGACCAACCCCCAACAGGACACATGCTCACTAAACTAAAACTCTGCATATAGGTAATGCTGAAGGATTAGGAAAAAAAAAAAATCCAGGGTCACCCTGCTGTATCAAAGAGGGCACTGGGTGTATGGGCTCATGAGGACTCTAATGAATAAGGACTCGTATGCAGCCCATCCTGTCCCTCTGAGCTCACATAGTCCTTGAAAGGAAACGGAAAAGCAGAAAAGAAAAATGATCTCAACTGTTCTCACCACAAAATGAAATAATGATTATGTGATGTGATAGAGGTGTTAGCTAATGCTACAGCGGTAATCATATTGCAATATACACACGTATCAAGTCAACATGCCGCACACAGTACACTTACATTAGGTTATATGTCAATTATATCTCAATACAAAACAATAAAATTAAAATGTTGGAAGGGAAAAAAAAAGTAAAGGAAGAAGACAGAGAGAGCCAATGTATCTCAAAAGACAGTGGATTTAAGGTATCATTTATATTAAATCTCTTAAAAAAAAGCTGTCAATTACATGCTAAGACATCTCTGATGTAAGGTATGCCTAGATGTCAGAGGGAAAACAGTCTGTTTAAAATAGAGGCATGGGGTGGGTGGGTGATAGACATTGGCGAGGGTATGTGCTATGGTGAGCGCTGTGAATCGTGTTAAGACTGCTGAATCACAGACGTACCTCTGAAACAAATAATACATTATATGTTAAAAAAAAAAAAAAGAAGAAGATAGTAGGAAGGGAAAAATGAAGGGGGGAAATCGGAGGGGGAGATGAACCATGAGAGACTATGGATTCTGAGAAATAA